CTCCTTGACCCCCTCGTGCCGATGCTTTCCTTCTTTTGGTCAGAAGCTTCATCGGTGACGAGGTGACGTGCCGGTGTCCGCCTTGGAGCATCGCTGCCCCGCTAGCTCGCACGTGGCCAAACCACCTCAGCCCTTCCCGGTTTCAACCGTCACCACCGCGTGCACCTCGGTGAGCTCTGATTGCTTTTCTGCCACTGCGTTACCTCTGTTAGGGCTCTAGGTCACTGGTACGGCCTCGCCGTCGTCATGAAACATGTTGTCCCAGCCGCCACCAGGGTCGGCTATGTTACAGTGCCTCTCCTGGTACCTAACTGTCGCCTCTAGAAGCACGCTGCCAAAACTTAGATGCTCAGCCACCGTAGGTCACCGGAGACCCTTGTCGATGGCCGGCGTAACCGTAGTTGTCACCGGTGTGCCACGTCGTCGCGCGTGGGCACGCCGAGGAGCTGCCCGTTGCGAAGACAACACTTTTCAGGATGTTTTGTGCAAAGCTTGAGTCTAATGAAATAGTGATTCACTATGTTGCTTGACTGTCTAATAGTGTGAACCCTCTTTTGCAAAAGCACGAGCGCGCGGGGCTCTCCCGCCTTGGGCCGTTGCTGGGCCAACCGGCTAAGCACGACCACGCCCCGCGCGGGCTTCGCGGGCCGCTGGGCCGGATTAGTCGCCACCGGCCTTTTTCCTTTTTCCTAAAGTGTTTTCTAATTTAGTTTCTAAACCAAACTTGTAAATTCCATATAAATTTGTGTAGTTGACCAAAAATGGTAAAACTAATTTTGTTAGGATTCTAAAATCATGATCTATATGCTAGTATATCTTGTTCACATAGCTTCATAGTATTTTCAGGAGTCATCTAATTAAATTGAGATGCTTAATATTGTTAAGATATAAACTTGTAGGAATTTTGTAATAAATTGGTTATAGTGTTGGCTCTAAAAATTTCACAGTAAATTCCTAATATTATTAGGTGCTCACTATAATTTTTGTAGCTCCATAATAATTAGTTTGCTAAGATAGCTAATGAGCCCTAGTTTGAATATATATTAAATCAATGAAATGAACTAAAGAAACATCTTGGGATTGTAGAACTAAAACACTTATCGGGAAACAACGCCTTATGCAACAACGTGGATACATAGCCTAGTACGTTAGTCATTAGAGCTAGCTTATAGCTTGAGAGACGTAATCATATTTTAAGAGTTGATTAATTGTGTCTCTACGTTGCATCCACGTATGTCATATTAGGAACAACGATGGATCGTGGAGATGATCGGAGTAGCGGAAAAGATGGTGCCTTGATGATCGTGTCACCATGATGGAATGCTAACTTTTGGTTATATCTTACCTAGGCAAGCCCCGGTGCATAACTAATATTATTCTGCACTTTAGTTTATGCTTGTGCATTAAGTTTAAAGGAGTTGAATGAAATTCACTTGCATAAATATATCCTTATCCTATGAGTCTTACTAGTATAACAGGATCATGTAGATTGCTATGCTATAGGATTCTGGTAGAAGTCGAGTGATTACCTGTCACTCGCGAAAGATAGGAAAAGATATTATTGTTACTATTATCATCACATGAAATATGAATGGATAATAATTGGGGACTGGACCAAACTGTACTTTAGATTTGAAATTGGATTGGGTTGGGCAATCGAGCAAGGCTTTGGTTGCACTCGTTCCGCCTGTGTCAATTGAGGACGGTCCGTTGTTGTGGATGATAGTCAGGTCACAGACTTATTATTCTGAGCACATACTTGCTTATGGGAGCGGGAAGACTTGTTACCCTCTTGTCATGGGTTCCGGCTTTTTCCAGACCGACTTTTAGGGGTGGGTATTAGGTGGAGGTCTAAGCACCATACTGAGACTGGGTCTCAGGTGTTGGTGGCTTGGAGTCTAAGTTTGTACGAGACCTGGACCCCTTGATAGGAGTGGAACGGATTGATCTTGTTTGTGCCTGGGGTACAAGCGAGGCGTGTGTTTCGAGATACCCAGCTAGGATACATTGATTCGCGAATCATCGTTTCTGTGAGCCAGTAGGACTTGGCTATGGTCTAGCACCGTAGTAAGAACTGGAATACGAAAGATGGTAAAATGGTTCTAATTGCTTACCACATGCTTGAAAGTAGCATAGGTGTTTACATAGAATGATTAGTAAATGAACTAATGATGACTGCTAATAAAATTGAATATAAGGATGCATGCTTAGTAATGCTTCCTGCAGATGCAATAACTCAAAAGCTAGATAACCTTTTTTTCCTTGGAGTCTTTTATTTTTCTCCTATTGGGTAAGTCTTGCAGGGTACAATCGAGTACTCAGGGTTTTATTCCCCCTATTACAGGTGATCGGAGGATACATAGATCTGACTCTTGTATGTGGAAACCTCCTTGTGAGCTCAGAGAGGATTCCTTTCACGCTACGACCGTAGTGTTTATTTATAATCCTCACTAAAAGTTTTTAGAAGAAAAATTTTTATGATCTGTCATCATATCTGGTTTATAAATGTTCACTATGTTAATGATTCACCATTAACCTTTATTTCCGTCGTAACTCTGATCATATGTTGTTCTCCGCTGCAAGATAAAAATGTGAACTTAGAATGTATAAACTCTTTTACAAGTAAAATTGTCTTAATTCCATTATTGCATTCAACTTGTTTAAGTACTCTAATGTTGTAATAAAGTGATGTAAGAAATGGTTAAGAATGTTGTAAGCTTTATTATCTCATTTATGATCCTGACGAAAAAATGTGGATTTTTTTAGTTCTCCCTTGGGGTGTGCTCGATGAAACGGCACGATTTAGTGTACTCTCTTGGGTACTTAGTGTCTAATGAAAGATAAGTACTCTTAGGAAGACATTAGATTAGACGGTTCTACCACAGGCAGTCATATAGAGACGCTAATATTATCACAGTAAATGACGGTCGCAGAAATAATCAGGACATGAAGCTCTTGAAGCAGTGTGCAACCAACAACACTCAACCATAGCATGTGTGATGGCCCAATACTGAACCTCGGCATTGGACCAGGAGACTGTTGCCTAATGCTTGACCTACTAGGACACCAGGTTCTTACACAAGAAGATGCATGACTCCAAGGCTATGGGCAACGAGCCAACGACCAACCCAAGGCATCGTGAGTCACTCACGGTGATACAGGCTTGTTTGGTTTGAGCTCTGGCAGGCAATGCCTATCGAGGCAAATGATCGTGGCCTCAGGAGTCCAAAATCGGACGCCTGAAAGTGTTGTTTAGCCCATGTAGCTCTGGCCAGGAGCCACTCTCATGTGTACTTGCTGATGAGGGCACGCGATGACCTGTCAAGCAGAGGGATGTGAAGAAGGAGATGGTCGGATATTCTCACTGTTCGTTTGGGCTCGTTTGGCTTATAAGACATGACTGAAAGTACCGTTGGCTGATTTAGTATGAGAGAAAAATATTGTCCGTTATCTGATAAGCCATGACTTATAAGCCGAATACGACCAAACGAATAGGCTGATTAAAGGCACTAACAAGTGTGCCACAATAATGCTGACATGTCGGCCCTTATTGTGCCATAAAGCGAAACCACCAATTAAAACGACTTGAGGGATAGATGAAATGGTTTTAATAGGTGAAAGGGTAGAATATATGATATTTAGCGGGTTAAATAGGTTAACATTAATATTCAGGAATTATATAGAAATTTTATATTCCTCATATACACCAGATTTATAGTATGAATAACAATCTCTACACCTAAAAAGACTCTAAAGTCATCATCTATCTAGTGATACCAAATCTTGATCCTTACTCATGTGTTTGCGTCCAATACGAATCATGCCCTACTCGGAGCTCATATGTATAAATTCAAAAAATTATGACCCCGGTGCAACGTACGGACATATATTAGTAATAGAATAAATTTGTCATGATGAACGACCTACGTTAACAAAAGAATAGGGCTCATGTGTTCCTACCGCTACTTTTTAAAGTCTAATTATGATTTTGTCCTATTTATTAAACTTTACGATTTTGCTCATGCTTTTTTCAAAATAAAAATCAGAGTTAACATTTGTTTCGTTTGGAAGAGTCAACTGTTTCAGTTCAGTGGAGAAAGATAAGAATCAGAGTTCACATTTGTTTCATTTAGAAGAGTTACTGTTTCCATTCAGTTAAGAATTATGTACTGGTTTTCCTATGAATTTCCCTCAGGTCCGTTTGGATCATTAAATTGAATTAATTTTAATAATTATAATTGAGACACAGGTTAATTAAGTTAATATGGCTGTATATGAAATATATTTGTATATTATTGTGGATCATACGAGAGAGATACTTATGTGTTGCATTTTTACATAGGGGAGCGAGTTGAACAACATGTTAAGTTGCAAATAGAAAACACATGTAGATCAATAGAATCAATTTTCTCTCCCACACTATGAATTTGAAATAGGCTTATATGTGAACTTTAAAAAGTTGTGAAATGTCATATTTCAGCCAAATAGCCAAAAATGAAATGAGAAACGTTTTCTCAAAGTTTTCCCAATACTATGTGATTTATCATATATTTTAACAACGTATAAAAAATAACATCAAACTTGCAAATATATCATATCTAAACATAGTTTAACAAGTTGTCTTCTTCATTTTTTTCGTTCCTTTAATTTATTCATTTGACTTTTGGAGTCTAGAACCAGAGCGAATGAGAGAGAAGGGTGCCTTAGGATTCAAAAAAACAAGGATAAAATCATTATTGGCCTTCAAAGTAGGACAAGAACACCAATCTCCCAATACAATTACAGATAAAAAGGAGCATTCAGAGTTTAAAACGAAATACTGGATCTGGTTAACTATATATCCTATTACAAGGTTACAGCGGACTGGCGTACACTCGAACGAGTGACTAAACATTTATGGGCAGAACGTGCTCAAGCGACAAAAACCTATCCAGATCCCTTACACAAGAACGGATGGCCCTTGAGTCCTTTCCTGACGCAAAAAGGTCCGCGCGAATGAGTCATTTCTGAACAACCTTAGGGTCTGGCACTTTAAGGATGCCAGCATCAACCAGTGGCTGCAGCTCAGGTTTTGCAAGATCCTTGACCTCCTTACTTGGCGATTCCAGGAAACCTGCAACCACCTTCGAACTGCAACCAGACGTCCAAAATATAATTTGTGAGGTAGATCCAATAACACCATGTAACTATGCAAGTGCAGCAATATGTTGAATTGTTACAAGTTCAGAGTCAATAATGGAAAAAGGGTTAAACATTAAGCCATAATTACACAAACAAGCCACATCTGCACTGCATGAGTTTTGGAAGCACGAGTACATGGCAATATGGCATCACATTGAGAAGTAAAACATTGTACCTGTGTCCTTCAGCCCATATATTGCACTTCCCTTCAAGAGCCTTTCTCCAGAGAATGACTGCAAACGCTGGACAGTCAATTATCATTCTTCTGATTACACGGCTGGAAAAGAAGTTCTCAAATGCATGTTCAATATCTTCAGTCTTCGGTTGGGCTGCATCAGACACTATTGCATCATGCAACATGTGGATCTTGTCAGTGAGGCCCTCCAAAACATTGTCTTTACCACCAACAGCGATCTTCAGGTTTCAAAAATAGCACCACGCAATTCAAGTCAGGATAGTCATGAAATTTATACAAATGATAACAGGGGGAAAAAAACTATAGGTAGGTCTGTATGAAGCATTATGTACATAGTTATTCTCCTGTCGACTCAACACTTCAAGACACTAGGAACATCCCAAAGAAAGTAGATTGCATTAACTGATAGAGCTTTCTCCACATTAGATAGAGAATCAATAGCCAGATTAACATAAAGGTCCACAAAAGTCATCATTTGTCAGTCCAATTTTGTACTGGAAGATAAAATTAATATGGAATGGGCAATGGTCATTATTAGAAAAAATGGTTATCTTTCAAAACAATGCTATAGGAATTTTGGACTTCTACACTAAATTAACATGGCATGAACAATGAACAATGGTCATTATTGGGTAAAAAAAGGTTATTATACAAATCAATGTTGTGGTAAGGAATTGCTTTGGTAGAAAACTACCAGAGGAAAAAGGTTTATGCCATACTAAGGACAAATTTAACATCAAGATCATGATGGCAAAAAGAGTTGCACATAAAAATCATAAACAGTAAAGAGCAGGTTTCCCATCTCCATGGAGCCATGGATAACAGCAGATCACCTCATATAATACTTCTTTGCTAAAATTTGTTCGAAGTAATTCTCCAGCACTTTCAAGGCATGATTGGATGAGAGTCTGCAAACAAATTTAAAAATATATATTAGGAGGACAAAATCCAGTCATCAAGTGCATGAGATGCTTATAAGGAGGATAAGATGTTTATGTTTACTCCAGGTGCTTGAAGTGTACTAACAAGTTAGTTGAGCTTATTTAAGAACCCGTTTGCATTGGTGGGACTAACTTTTATAAGGGCAGCACTAATGCAAACAGGAGTGAATGTAATCTCCAATACATCAATTTCCATCCACAAGATTATTTCATATTTGGGTGCCATTAGTATTTAGCAAGTATGCTTCCACAACATAGTAAATAGAATTCCATGGAGATAAGTGCAACCACAAGAAGACAGGCCAAGGCACAGAAATATAATCAGAATCACTGGTAACTTCAGAAACAGAAAGGCAATAACCTATCTTATTTCAAAGGATACAGAATAGTCACTACGTACGCAGACAAAAAAGGGTGGATACACAAGCAATGCTGCAGGTGACCTACTACTGCACATAATATACTGTCCACTTATTTTGCTTCCTTTCTATAATCATGGCTGTTCACACAAAACATTGTGCACTAAGATCAGCAGCCTGGAATTAGAGTTTTTGTGATTAAACTATATCTACCCTAGTTGCAAGAATTAACACGTTTCTTAAAAGAATGATATGTTATTTAATGAAATAGGTACGGGCATCACCTCGGCCAGCTCACTCTTGACCAACAGTTCATGTCGCCTTTGTAATGGATCCTTCTTGCTCTCAGACACAATTTGCATGCCTTCTAAGCCATTGGGATCTTCATCAGTCACACCATCTACTTCATTTTCTGATGTGTCACCCTGAACCAGAAACATCAACTATTTAGGATGTCTTTCTCTATAGAATACTTGGAGATGAAAGAGTAGCTAACTTGCCTCTGTTGGACTAAGAGAAGGTACATTGTAGTTCAGACAAGCCAGATCATCCGGAGAAAGATAGCGTGAGCAAAGAGGGTGAAGTAGTTGCAGCAATGGTCGTCTCCCATTCTGTTCCAGCAAGTAGATCCATTAGTACTAGTCTTAATCTTAAGTACACAAATTTACAAAAAATCCAAGATAAACTATTCGGACAAAGGGAAACTATTACCTTGTCAAAAATGAGTTGCTTTATATGTTTTGCCAGCTCTTGAATGACAATCTACCAGGCCAAAGATAAAATGTTAGTGTCGCCCATTTCTAGCTGCTTTGCAACAAGAGGCATGATTCTCAGAGAAAGCAAACTGTAGGTGCTAACCAACCTTAGAAACAAGCTTTGTGTCATCAACAATGGAAATAATGCAGATAAGGAACTGGATAAAAAAGAGATGTGTTAGCAGAGGACTGAGGGTAAATCGAATCCATTTTTAAGAACAAACTTGAATCTTGTCTAGAACAGGTCACAATATTCCCAATTTAAGAGCCAAAATAATTGTAAATAAATACAGTCATTACTCACAAGACATCCAAAATCACTTAGAGCAAGCTTCATAATGTGCCCCTTCAAACTTTTAATGATCTTCTTCCTGTCCTGAAATACATTGCCATGTCCATTTAGTCTTGTTAATGAAGATAGTACATACAGCAGAAAATAAATATGCAATAAGGAGTACTCGGTACAATGTAGTGCATAATCAATTTGCAAATATACAAGCACCACAAAATTTACAAAAATAAACCAGCACCGAACAAAACACCAGTGGATAGTAGCGGAGAAAGTGATTGAACTGGAGTTAATATATAATAAGAACCTGTACAGAAATACCTTTGCACTGCCATGCTTGAGGCAACTAATTCCTAGTTTTAATCCTTCCCTTGTCTGCATGATCCTAACGATAAGTGGCTCTTTCGACCTTTTCTTCTTAGCTTTTGTTTTCTTTGGTAGCTCCGGAGCATTTGATGGTTCATCTCCATCTATGATTAATGCTCCTTGAGTAAGAAGGGGGATAAGTTGACAAATAACGTCCGAGGCTGAGGTCTACCAAAACAGACATAGGTTACAATGTGATAAACTGAATACTTAGTTCACAGATGAGGGCAGGTAAAATAAACATTGCACAACAAAGGATACAATGCGATTACCTTATCTGCAATTGTAAAGTACTCCAATATGGCCGTGTGCACTATTGAATACTCAACAGTACCTTTCTCCAGGATTTTATGAATCACAATAGTCATGTACTGCAGGACAGATGATATCTGCAACCCAAGCTTGGAAATTGTATCTATCAAACTGGAAAAGGAGTTGAACATTAGGATTTACCACAAAATAAAATCCATGGAACTGTTGTATCTAGAGACAAAAAAAATCTCTAAAGACGGATAACCAAAGTCACATTAATTTCCCTATAATTCTAAGACAGGAAAAACTGCAAAAGACATGCTTAGCTCTAGGTTATTACAACTGTTCATAAGATGTTCAGAAAGAATAAATAGCAAAGGGAACTTCTAAAATACATGACCAGGATTCCAGGATGTATATTGTACAAACCAGCAGGAACTTTGCAAAGTCAGATCCTGGAAAAGCTGAAGTTCAGTGGAGTACAGTTCCAGTAACAACTGTCTTTTCTGACGTTTTGTTCCCCGCTGAAATGCATAATCAACGACTGCAAGAAAGAACATATATTGATGGGACCTTGATTTATTTCAATTGTTTCTTATAGGAACACATGAGAAGAGAAAATGGCGAGTCTGAAGCCATTCACTGCAATAACATAATTGAACACACACCTGCAGCTCCTATAGTATGATGAAGAAGTTTGGCAACACGACCATGAAGAGAAGAGATGAAACTGGCAAACTGTTTTTTAGAGGCTGCAACCGCAAACAGGAGACATGTTAATGAAGCTAAGGGTCATATCAAACTATCATGTAACATTCTAACATAGCCACATGCCCACGCGTGATCTGATCCGTATATAAAGTTATACGAAATGTACCGAGTTCTACAAGCTTCTTTACAAGGAAAACCGCATATTTCTTGCGAGAAAGATCGAGCAAATGTGGATGTAGAACATCAAAAATAGCATCCCTCTCTGACTGTGAGCACCACTTTACACATGTCTGCCAAAAGACGGTAATCAACTGATCATCAAAAGCCAGGACACAGGCAACATAACAAAAAACGCAGCAGATTGACAAATACTGTGTGTGCTCAGCTTACTTGAAGAACACGTGCAGTAATATGTGATGTGGCGATATCCAAATATTTTCCATCCATTTTCTTGATAGCCTCGCTTACTACCCTGGAAAGGTGACAATTATGTCAATGTATATGATTGCAAACATAAGATACAAGACTGTGATCCAAATGCCTACTTGGACCTCTCCTCTTTGCTCACATCGTGGCATCTCATCTTTTCCCACAGTTTCGTTAGTTCCTGCCGGTATTCAGGGTCAATCAGAGCAAAAGAGCATTAAATATAGCAAACTGACGAGTTTACTGTCACCACAAATGTCAGTCAAGGTTGAAGAACTTGTTAATGTTGATGATCTTTGTGGGGGGTAACGTCACAATTCGAAAAGGCAAAAAAATCAGGTTTGGATAGTTGAGCACATAATAATCATCAAAAGAACCGTCCAATATCTAAGTACCGTAAGCAGAACCTAGTTGCAGAAACTGACTCTATTTACATAAATACATACAGGTTGATGTGTTCAGTCCATAGTGGATTGATCGACCATAATGCAAGTCAGGTTGCAGCTTTACAGCAAAAGTGTTACAACTAGAATCATAATTGTGACCTAAAAACAGGTGCTGCAAGCCCCAAATTGGACAAATTGGAACATACGGTGCGAAAAAAAAGAGCTGAAGTACCTTCTCAAGGCTGTAATGCCGCTTCCTCTTCATCTTCCTGGCCTCCGACATTTCCTGTTACAGTCCAGCCCGTCCGTCAATTGAAGCTCAGAGATACAAATGCAGCGGCCTCGATCGAAGCCCATGCTCCAGCGCTTCCGAGCACAAACGAGCATTTAAGAGATACCTTGGCCGCGAGGCGCTTCTCCTTGGGGGTAACCGGGGTCTTCTTCCTCGCCACAGCCTCTCCGGCCCCGCCATCGGCCGCGTAGCCGCCGGCGGCCGAGTGCTTCTTCCGCTTCGCTCCGTCCCCGCCTCCCTTAACATGCGGCCGAGGCTTGGCCTTCCCTTCCGCGTGCTCGCGCTTGCGCTTCTTCGCGCCCTGGAGATCGCCGCCGCCCGCCATCGCGCGCGCCGCTCGCTGCTCTGCTGTGGCGACGGAGGACGAGGAAGGGGTTTTCACCGGACCAGATAGGCCCTAGCTAGGGTTTATACGAGGTCGCCCGCCAGTGGGCTAGTATTAGGCCTCAGTGGCGGCCCGCTCAGGGTATCTTCCGGTTTCGGGCCATGGCGCCTGCAGATGCGTCCGGTCCAGCAACCGAGGCCCAGGCTCAAGATGTTTCGAGGCGTTTGCTTTGCTCGGGCCCAGCCCAGCTGACCGGTCAAAGCGAGCGAGGGCAGTTCCGTCAATTCGTTGAGGGTGGGAAATTGAGGGTTTTCCCGCCGCGTGGGCCTGCACTTCTGCCGCCAACCTGATTTGCGCCGGATCGGCTGGACGGGCCTCGGCTCCTCTTTCTGGGTCGTAGTGTCGGTCTGGCCTGGATCTGGTGCGGCGCGGTCGCGCGTGGGCGCCCGTGTGGCACCCTCGCCGCATCCTCAAATTTGAATTGAAGTTCACTGAGGGCATGTACAGCGGGGCGATTCAACCCGTCTCTATGTCTTATTTTTTTGCAGAATACACCCTCGGGACCGAGAAGACCGGCGAGTCCGTCGTCTCACGAGGCGACGACACTGGCTCGTGCTCCCAGACTGAGTCGCCAGACGAGGACGCGCTGTACAGCATTGTCGCCTCCAAGCGACAACGCGCGGATCCGGCTGTGCGCGCGGGAGTGTAACACCGTCTGTGTTAGCCCATTAATCATCTACTAAAATATGTTATGAGCATCATACTTGTGTGTTAATACATATGGTGAAATGTGTAGATCAATTTCTGTAATCCAAAATAATTAATAAAAATGCTAAATGAAAGTTGGTTCGATGATTCATACATATCAAGTAGGATTTAAAATCAATTTTTATTAAACAAAAATACTATAGAATATGTATGTGATACTTAAATAAAGTTTGAAGTACAAACTGTGTAGATGACAATGAAATATTTGCTTTTGAAAAATAATATTGCTTTGTAATATTTTCAATAGCCTAGAAATCGTAAATTGAAATCAAATTCAGTTCAAAACTTAGAAAATTTTCAAGTCTGTCAACAGCCAGACGCTGCTATGTTTAGCAATTTATTTGAAGAGATCGGATTAAGGAGTGACATAGTGCTATAATTCGATTTAGTAGTTCCATATGCTATCTTGAGGTAGTGAAGCCGGTTTAGGTTTACGAGCAATGGTTTGGTCGTGATCAGCGCTTTAAAATTCATGCGCGTACTTGTCTCGGGTTGGTTGGCGTCGGGTGCGCGGTCACCGCGCGGCCTCCCCACGCCGCGCACATGGTTGCGTCTCGCCCGGTCACCCTGTGCTGCCACGCTGGGTCGGTCGGGCCGCCTGGGATTGGTCGAGGCCGGCTGCAGCGAACCATTGGCCCGCGTCCTGCTGTCCTGCCTCGCGTTGTCGCCATTGGAGCCGCCGCGGCCGCGCTGTCGCTGCCGTCGCGTCCACCCACTGCTACCTCACGTCGCGACGCTGCCGCTGTCGTCGTGTCACTCCCGTACTCGCGTCAACTCGCTGCATCACGCTGCCCCCTCCCTGGCCCGATTGGGTGTCGTCCGCACATGGCCGTGCACGCCGTCGTCACGCTATTAATGGCGCTGCGGCGCGTGGGCCATGGCCGGTCGCGGACGCTCGCGCTCGTTCCCTCGTGCTTGGACGTAGTTCCCTCGGCCACAACCGCTCGTGTCCCGCCAAGGCGAGGACTAACTGAGCCCAACTGTCGTGCCCCATTTCTCTCTTTCTCCCTCTGCTTTCCGCCGCCGCCGAGTCACGGTCACGGTGAGCCAGAGAGCGAGCAGCTATCATCAAGTCCTCGTACCCGCATCTCTGCCTTTACGTCCTCTTGCCGACCGCCCCCACCTCGTCTTGATTACAGCCAGGCTGAGCTTCAATTTTGGAGCTTTGCTCCCGTCGCCACGCCATTAAGGCCTAGCCCTCCTCATCGTGGCCAGCTCCAACCTCGCCACCTCACGTCGAATTGATCACACCACTAGTCTCGCCTAGAACCCCTCTTCATTGTGTGCACGCTAGTCGTAGCTCTAGTGCCGCCTCCTCACCGCTGATGCGGCCGTGCCTTTGCGGTCCGCCGTTCATCTCGCAGCGCGCACGTGGCCAGCCTCGCTTGGGTCATCTTCGGCCGAGTCGGCACCTCGGTTAGGTCACTGGTGAGTCATCGCTGCTCACCCAATACCCCTACTGCCTTGTTGTTGCTATGGCTCACCTGAACGCCGTCGCCATTGCCGTAGGGTGCCCACCGTCGTGGAGAGGTCCTTCTACGGCGTCCCGGCTTATGCAACCGTCGCCCATTGCCTCGCGTCGACCCCTTAGTGAGATTTGGCCTCTTAGCTAGGTTAGCATGGGTCCCGGGTGGCCGGCGCTGTCGCCAGTGCCACTGCTCGTCGCGCCGGAGCGCGCGAGGGAGGCCAGGGACCATGCCGTTGTAAAGAGGAGAGAGTACAATGGTCTTTTGCATAGGTGATGTCTCTAGGAATAGTAACGTGGACTGCGAGTTGTTTTGTTTAAAATCATATAAAATCATGAAGGTATCCAAAATTTATACAACAAATTTTGTTAAATTCCTAAAATTGTGCTCTATCTATTAGTGCATTTAGTTCATATATATATATATGTTGATACTAGGAGCTATTAAATTATTTGAGAGTGCTTAATATTATTAGGTTAAATATTGTAGGAATTTTTGTGGTAAATTGGTGATAGCTTTAATCCTAAAATTTTTATGGTGGTTTTCTAGTATTATTATGTGCTCACTGTAATTTTGTAGCCCTAGAATAGACTACTTAATATGGTAGCTAAATACCCATTGAGGCTAAAGGAATAATGGCATGATGTTGGTTTATAAAAATTAAGCACTTGTAGGGTAAGCTTGAAATCTATTTGGTAGAGATAATGATTAGCTTAGTATCTTAGACATTAGAGCTAGCTTAGTAACTTAGCATGTGTATTCTTATTTTAAGAGTTGTTGTTGCCAAAATACTAAGTGTTGTATCATCATTGCATGCATGTAGAGAATGAGTTGGTGGAGTTCGTGACCGCCGGAGAGCAAGAGTACGAAGAGGTGATCGAGGAGTATGAGGAGGAGGTCCCAAAGTCGTCACTGACTGACTTAGCTGACACCCTGCTTGTCCAAGGCAAGCCCCGGTGTATAACCCTTATTTTGAATGATCACTCGATATATATATATATGTATGTAGGACTCATAGGTAGGTTATCTATGTATGTTACTCACGCTCGATATATATATATATATATATGTGATGTGCATTTATGTTATAAGATTTATATTGAAACTACATACATAGATAACCTACCTATGAGTCCTACTAGCATAGTTCGAGTAGCTGCTATGTTTGGGCTATCGATAGCGTGAGTAACCTACCGTTACTCACAATAGATGATTATTATTATTACTCTCATGATAAAATAGTGAAAGGAAATGAAGACCGGACAGGGATATGGTACGGGTATTGGTGGGTGTAATAAGTTGTGTCCCGCGGCCAACGGGGCATAGCTTGGTTACACTGTTTTTTATGTTTGTGTCGATTAAGGACCGGCCGTTGCTGTAGATTCTAGTCAGGTCACACACTTATTATCCTGAGCACATACTTGCTTATGGGAGCGGGAAGGCTCGTTACTCTCTTGTCATGGGTCCTGGCTCTTTTCGGACCGACTGATTGGAGGCGGGGACGGTGGAGGTCTAAGCACCACACTGAGTCCAGGACTCAGGAGTGGGGGTTTGGAATCCAAGTTTGGACGGGGACCTGGCCCCCTTGACAGGAGAGTGGTGGGTTGGTCTTGCTTATGCATGGGGTATAAGCGGCGCGTGTGTTTCAGGGTACCCAGCTGGGATACATTGGTTCGTGAATCGTCGTGTGATACGGTACAACTTGTCTATGATCTAGCACCGTAGTAAGAACTAAAAGATGAAAGGGGATGAATAGATCTGATTGCTCAACTCTTGCTTGAAAGTAGAACTAATCATGACTGCTAATAAAATACATACATAAGGATTCACTACTAGTAATGATTTTCGCAAAAAGGAAACCCAGCAAACCATAAAGCTTATCATATCCTTTGGAGTCGAGAAATTATTCCCACTAGTCAGGTAAGTCTTACGAGTACATTGTGTACTCATGGTTTATTTACCTCTGTTGCAGGTGCAGCTTGAGGAGTGACAATTATGTGGAGGATTCTTCAGGTGGGCACAAATGGATCCTTGTATCTTATCGTTAGATGTTTATTTCAATTATGCACTCTAAACTTGATATTGTAATAATGTATTTTCTAAGAACTCTTGTTGTATGAATTGGACTAGATATTGTAAGCTCGTACTAATTATTGGATCCTGGGTGAAAACATGGATTGTTCGAGTTCTCCCTTGGGGTGTGCTCGACGGAACTGTCTGATGTAGCTAATTTTTGGGGTGCTTAGTGTCTAGTGGAAGACGAGCGCCTCCGAAAGTGTGTTATTTTGGACGGTTCTGCCATAGGTGGTATCAGAGCCAATATTGAGTTACGAGTTTCATAACTCTTTTCAAAACCTAAAATTTGACCAACAAAAGTTTTTCGAAAAATAGGATGCGATAAAATTACGTAAATAAATATAAGCCCTAACAATATGGTCTATCTAAGATAGCGCTGGTTTTATCTAATCAAGTTTCTATAGGTACACTAACTTACGCAGCGTAAGAATCATTTAGCAAGCAGAAAGTGAGTGTGCGATGTGCCGAAAATTTTTGCGAATGCCGCTATATTCCAGCTTGAGTGAACGGGTAGGCTAATGCATGCATCATGAAAAGAGAATCTTGCTTAAACTAAACTTTCCCTCCCCACACGTATAATTTAGATTAGTGAATTGATAGGATAACCTAAAAGAATACTCTAATAAAAGTCTTATCAATTCTCTAAGTCTCTTGTTCCTAATCTGGAGGGTTGTCCCTAATGGTTAGTTC